CTAATGTGTACAAAATTGGCACTTCGTCCCAAAAATCAGGGAGTTCTCCGGTAAGATGATTGTTCGAGAGAATCAAAGTTACCAAGCTGGTGATTTTGCTAATGGACAAGGGAATGGTTCCATTGAGAGAGTTTTGAGAAAGATCCAAGTCAGTCAAATCTGGATATCTGTAGCCAATATCAAAAGGAACAGGTCCTGAAAATGAATTGTTTCTCAGGCTTATCGAGGCTACATTTGAGGACCAAGGTGGAATTGGACCCTCAAAAATGTTAGACATCAAATAGACAGTGGAACCAGGCTTAAATTTTAGAGTAGTTGGCACTCTGCCCCTAAGTTGATTATAGCCAAAATCCAGTTCTTCAAGTTCCCAGTTCATTTCCCACAACCAATCAGGGAGAGTATCTGAAAATCCAGCACGCCTGAACGTTAAAGTTTGCAATTCAGTAAAATGTCTGATCCACATAGGAAATTTAGGACCAAATCGACATGACCTGAACTTGAGATACTGGAGAGTAAAAGGAGGAATCCACTCAGTGTCAACGTTTGCAACCAAAGGAGGACTAGGAGGTAATGAGTTTGAGGATATATACAACTCCTTCAAACTAGTCAAGTTTGTGAAGTGAGCTTCTGTGATGACACCCCACCAATTATTTTCAAAAAGGTCTAGGACAACCAACTTTGAAAGTTTCCCTAAAGTGACTGGAATTTGTCCACTCATTTGGTTCCATACAAGGATCAAATACTCCAATGATGACAAATTTCCAATCGAATCAGGGATCATACCAACAAATGAATTCTTCCATAACTCAATATACTTGAGATTTTTCAAGAATCCGATAGAATCTGGAAGAGTTCCACCCAATCCAGCATTATATCCCAAATTCAGCCTCTCTAGCTTGCTTTCGTTGCACCTAGAAAGACCATTGATGAATTTGGTTATATCGCCTGTGAAATTGTTTAGAGAAAGATCCAATTCTCTTAGGTTGCACAGATTTCCCAGTTGCTCATGCAACTGACCCTCCAGGAAAGAATTCCCAGATAAGTCAAGTGTCTGGAGTGAAGTCATGTTTGCAAGTTCAATTGGAATAGCACCTTGAAGAACATTTGAGTTCAAATCAAGATAAGCAAGTTTTCCAAGCTTAGATAACCAAGATGGGAATAATGAGCTGAACCCATTGTTCGAGAGATCAAGGACTAACAGTGAAGAGAGATTGAAGAACTCAAAAGACAACGGAAGATTTGAAAGCATGCATTGTGGCAAATGCAACTCTAGAAGGGAAGGAATCATATTGACAGACTGAAGCCAATGGTTCTTCACCTTAGACAAATCCACACTACCTAAATTAAGATACTTCAAAGATTGAAGTCCAATGAGCCATTTCAAGTTGTTAGCAAATGGTTCATTAATTGAGTAACTACTAAGATCAAGAAAATGCAATCTTGAAAGATTTCCAATGTGAGGAGGAACAGGTCCACCAAAACCAGCATTCGACAGATTAAGGTATCTCAATTTTCGAAAAGATCCAAAGAACTTTGGAATTTGATTCCCTCCAAAGTTGTTTGAACTCAAATCAAGATACCTCAATGACTTTAAATCAAGCAAAGAAGGACTAATTACACCACCAAGTTCATAACTTTGATATCCATCACCTACATCATCAACGCGATTAAAAGTGTTACGTAGCTTGATCTTGATTACATTTCTTGTTTTTTTATGACACACAATGCCTTCCCATTTACAACATTCATCTCCAATCCAAGAAGACAGCCTACTCGAAGGATCGATAAGACCTTTCTTGAGATTAAGTAGAGCTTCCTTCTCTATTTTTATACAACTAACATTAAGATTATTGTGACAAGAAATGAAGTTGATATTTAGTGTGTAAAGAAATGTGAACAACAGAAAAAACATGAAAAAATGAGTTAGATGAAGTATATTCATACTAAGTGCCATGTTTGTTTTATCATGTTTTTTTAAGGAGCTTTGCACCAAATGGATTTATAGTGAAGAAAGTTAGGACAAGAAAATAATTAAGATAATGACATTCCAAGTTGGGGTACCAGAGTTTGACTTAGGTGCAAGCAAAATTGAATATGACATGAGAAGTTGTTAGGTCATGTGTGAACAAAATTCTATATTGGTAGTTAAAAAAAAAGAAAGTTGAATATATATATTAATGGTGTGAGACCTTAAATGAAAAATCGTGTAAGCTTGATCCAAAGCAGATAAAATCACATTTTATTAAGAATATCTTTGTGTTATTTTAGTGTAGCACAACATAATGATATAAGGGTACTTGAGAAAATATAGTACGGGGTAAATTTAAACGGACAAATCACTCTATCTTAGAGTTTTTAGGTCAATTTAACACAACAACTTGTATCAAAGCCAATAATTCGACAGGTTATATGAATTTAGTCCAAAACGAATAATATCATATCATATTAAAACTATCATTGGCCGACCTGACCTAACAGTGTCCATATTAGAAAGTCAGCAAAGACAAAAAAAATATTAGGTGATTCTTCCCATTTGTCCTAGTTTTGATGGACAGAGTTACATGTTGATGATGGAGGGTGGCAAATATCTCATGGAATTAATCAAAATGCATAAAAGCTGGCCCGATCACAACAATAATAATTTTTAAAAAGTTCACTTTATATAAACCTTGACTCACTGGTATCACTTTATACAAAGTATGCATACTCTTTCTTCTTCAACCCCATTTGCACGACAAAAAATAAAGGATAGAAGAAGATACATTGCATTGCAGAAAACCCAAAAAAGTGAAATTTTCAAAAATATACCGCTCAACATAAAATATTATGCAACATCACACAATATACAATATTATATCTGGAGAAAATATTATACATAATTTATCAATTTTATATAAAAAGTGTTTATATACAAATATGGACTAAACCGAGTAACAAACTCAAAATATAAGCTACGTGACATAAATATTTTCTCCCACTAGACAGCATTTTGCCAATCACTTCAACAGTACCAAAATGCCCTATTTCTTGAGTCACGGAAACCGCGTAATTTTTTTCAAAAAAGAAAAGGTAGAAACTTTTTACAATAGAAGTCCCACTTTAATTTGTAGTCAAAAGATGGGGAAAAAAAAGAGGAAAAGATAAAACTTGAAGAAACTAGTGATTTTTTCCCCTTCAGTGTGTGTTTGAAACAACAAAAGGTGTACTGTTGTGAGCTGCCATTGCATTTGTATTTTCTAGATTTCAATCAAAGCATGAACATATGTATTTTTTTCATAGTTATTCGTACAACAGTTTACATCAAATCAATAGATGTATGATATGTGTTTGCACACAAAATTTTGACACTTAACCATAGTTTTATTAATTAACATGCATGCATTCTCGTCTTACTAGATCGCTTAAATTATAGTGATTTATATATGATATTGTGTGTAATCATTTGATGCGAATAAATATTTACCATTTACGAATGAGAGTAATAATTAAAAAATCCCCATGTTGAAATTCGGAATTTGAGGCCCTCCAAAATTGTTTGAGCTCAAATCAAGATATCTCAAAGATTTTAAGTCAAGCAAAGGAGGATTGATTTCACCACCAAAATCATAACTTTGATAGCCATTCAACTTATATTAATAGTGTGAGATCTTTTATTTGAAGAAAATCATGAAGATTTTGCTTAAAGTGGATAGTATGATACAGAAATAGCCATATCATAAGTTATGAAAAATATCAAATCCTAAATTGTTTTGGTTTCTACTCCAATTTTGAATTAATCTTCCAGCACAACCCCATTATCACATAAGGAGACTTTTCTTTCGGGTTACTTACCAATATGTATATGCAACAAAATTTATTTTTAACAAAATGACCGTATGTATATGTATTATGTAATATATCAATATGTATATATAATGTATCGATATTATTTAAGTAATATATATTCGTGTATAGAGGATGTATAACGATGTATATACAATAATATACATTGTTGATATAATAAAGCTATCATTGTACATCGATTTTTTTCAATCCCAACCAACTCAAATCTTTTTAAAATAGTTTCAAAATTCAGATATGATATCCTCTCAATGTTTCGAGTCTTTTGATATACTATTCATCCTAAATGATTCAAATTTGTGGTATGTCAATTTTTAAAGTCGAGCTTTGAATAAGCTTTAAAAATGGAAGCCAGAGGAAGGAAGGAAGATGGAAAGAAGCAAAGAAATAAGGAAGAAGAAGAAGGAGAAGGAAGAAAGGAAGAAGCCAATAATAATTGGAAGAATTAGCCATTAATAGCTTTTTCTTCCTTCCTCCTCCTTCCTTTTCTCTTTGTTGCTTTCGGTCTTCCTTCCTTCTTCTTCTTTCATGATCAATCAATCATTAAAGTTTCAAAAGTTTGATTTAAAAATTTGATGTAACACAAACGTGAATCATTTCCAACAAATTATATATAAAAAAAATTCGGAACATCAAGAGGATTTTATAGCTAAATTTTAAGATTTTTAAAGAAGATTTTGAGTATATACATAGGAGAGTGGCGAGATAGATGGAGAGGGAGGCGAGTGAAGCAGTCATGTATCTCAGATACATGTGAATCACACTAGATATACATTAGATACATGTATTTGTATGTATATGGTGTGATTTGCATATATACATAGTAGAGTGGCGAGCAAGATTTATTATGTATCACAGAAATATGCGAATCCACTTGGATATAATGTATCTAAAATAAATTACACTTAATTTTGACTCATGTACCCAAATATACATGTATACAAATGTATCTAGACACACCAAAATCTTGTAAAGTTCGTATTATTGTGAAGCAAAGTGTATCTACGTAATTAGTTACCTTCTTTCCAAAGCCGAAAAGGAGACTACTTTCTGAACTGGGCCCTTACATCCTAATCCAAATTCTAAGGCCCAATATTAGCCTGCCGACAACTGCGCGTACAAGCACGCGCTGAGACGCTTCCAATGATATTTTTGGGATATAACAAACCTCTGTTTGCCGTCTTCCATCAATCGATCAATTTTTTTTTTTGTGTTTCCGATGAATCTTCTGATGCGTTGCAGTTCTTAAACTCAATCGGAATTCAAGTTCCATTCTCCCTTCCCCTACAAATTCAATTTTTATTTTTCAGATATTCGATCATCAAAGTCCGTCAGGCGAATTCCAGCTCCGATCACATTCCGGTGAGGTTCAATTCTCCTTGTGCTTCTATTTACGGTTTAATTTCTCATGTGGTCCATAATCTTCATGTATGTGAATTTTCTTATGTTTAATTCCCGTTATTTTTCATTGCCAATGCCTACAGTTTTGTCGAATTCAATGATCCAATGGATTTGATTGTTAATTGTAATTGAATTCATAATTTTCTTTCCGGGTTTTGTTGACCTAATCGATGTTATGCATAATCCATGAATTATAAATTTGTGAAATTTTATTCACTACTTATATTTTCTTAAAGCTATACCACTGTACAGTTGGATTTTTTTGAAGTGTTATTACATTGTTGATAGTTGTAGAAGTTTGGACTTGCGTGGAATTATGTATTAAGCAACTAGTTATCGGATACGGACGCGTGTGTTGCACGTGTATTTCGAGAGATTTAGTAATTTTGCATAATTACATAAGATTATTGAAACATGTTATATCACAACATAAGTAAAGCAAAGATTTCATGAATGTGGTAGTTTGTTTAAGAATTTGAGAATCCAGCTCGAAATAAGCCAATATGAATTCTCGAGTAATAAAACAAAAATAATTCAATGTTGTCACTATTGCAACTCTAATGGTTATATACCACAAAAGGAAAAAAAAAACTGGAAGTGAAAATTGTGTTGAAAGTGATAAACATTCTAGACTATTGATCATGATTAGATAGATGCACAAGCATCAAAATTAAATGTAGTCTGACACTAAATCGAAGCATTGCTCATGATAGGAGAGTGATGAAAAGAAGAGGAAATTGATAGTTACATTTGGTTCAAACCTAATTACGCTATTTCTAGCTCAGCCGCCTCCAACTCTCTCTATGGGTCAAACAACTTCCTTAAGTTAGCAGATATCATATTGCTCCCGCAAACGGTGATGTCTCGATTCCCATTGGTCGGTCTGCTTTCCGGAACAAATCCTTGTTCAAGTAAATCTTGAATCAGATTCCTGAAATTTACACAAATTATTTATAGAGTGAGTCCATTTTCTAGCAGCCTCTTAATTCAATAGGAAAGTAGCTTTTTGTTATTTTTATTAGAAATTTATAAATCAATCTTCATTTGAAGTTAAAGAAAATAAAAGATCAAACCTTTCTTTAAGGCAATCCAAAACAAAAATAAAAATTATTTCTTACAACTCGCACTTATTCAGAACCCGATAGTTATACTTCTTCTACACAAATGACATTCCTTTCTCTTCCCTTTACTTATATTCTTCCTGATCTTTGCAAATGGCAAGACTAATTACCAAAATACACCTAAACTCATTATATGATTATGAATTAGATTGGTTTTATTTAAAACAAAAATCACAAGAAAATAACCCCTGCGTTTTTGGAATTTTTCTATAGGTGTAAGAGGAACAAATTATTTAGAGGATATGACCTTTTTTGATAGTTATGGAGCAAGGCTTTTGAACATCCTTATATACTATCGGAAGAGCATACATCACTTCAATTAAAAATTTAGTATTATTTATTGTCTTGACCCTTAACCTTTATATTCATCTGTTGCTTGAAAAATTCAATTATATGCTTTAAATAAGTTATTAATGTGTTAATTAAATTGTTGCCATTTGGGATTTGCTCAGGAAAAACAAATGGGCAGTTTCCTTTTTAATTTAACATGGAGATTGTGGGCTTTAAATATAGTGAATGGATGGAATGAATGAAAGGAGAAAATCAAGAAAATAAAACTTAATCAAATGACTACTGGACTTCATCTAAAAGGTAAGGAAATTTAAAATGTCATAACTTGTAAAGAATTAAATGTTGTGTGACATCCCAGCTTAGGATAAGAAGTCCCACATCGGCAAAACAAAGGAGAGATGTTGGGTATATAAGTAAGCATGCCTTACACCCTAGTGACACGTTCTAAAGTCATGCGGCCCTAGGCCCAAAACGGACAATATCACAAGCAGGTTGGGCCATTACATGTTGGACTTCAAATTCTAACATTGTGTAATTAAAATATTTATTATTTTATTAGATATTTAGTCTGATTTTGTTTTAGTGGAGGGAAGAAATGGTAATCCAACTTGAGCTTCCTACTTTGAGTATGATATATGGTATATGATACTCTGATATGCTATATACACAAGCATCAATTATAAATGTTCAAAAATGATAAATGTGAAAACAAGAAATTCAACTGTATCTGTTCAAGGAGTAATTTCTCGAAATTCAATAGGAAACATACAGAAGGTTAGCTGATAGACAGCAGGAAGCTATTGTTTATCTGGTTTAGTATTGAATGTACTAAATGCTTCCAAATTTGGATTTACGTTCTGGATTTTCTTTCTTCTGCTGATTAACTTTTTCATATGAAGGTGTGAGCTGGCCAGAATAGATTGAAGCACGTACCGAGACATAAAAGGCGTTTTACAATGAGGTGTAAGGTTCCTTCGCTGGTAGATTTATGTGTTCAGACAGCAGTAGATAATGTGAGATACCTTGGGGATGTTGGTGAAACAGACACTCATCTACTAGAGCGTATTTTGCCTCACTGTTCTCTTGAACAATTAACACATGTGGAGAATTCGACAGAAGTAAGAAACTCTATGAGTAGGTTATCCTCTTGCAGTGTTACATATCAAGTCCATTTTTAATGCTCAAATTCTTCTTTCAGGGAAGAGATCTCAGTCAAGTGACTGATAGACTTTGGAAGAGGTTTTACCAGATTGAGTTTGGTGACAAGAGCATCAATCAGGTGGTCGAGAGAATGAAGAAAGTGAAAGTAACATTTAAATGGAAACAGTTATATGAGGTGATTTATCATATCATACTTTGTTTTTACTCCCTTATTATGATTTATGATATATGTTTAGTAGTGGATCACATCTTCCTCTTATTGTTGTTACCAAATCATTCTACATTACAAAAGGGTATATCAATTTACTTGCAGGCGAAGACAGAGGAAATGGAGGAAACTCAACAAAGGTCATTCGAGAGAATCAAGGAATTGTACCAAAATGAAAATGCTAGTATGTGCTTTACTTCTGTTTCTTTGTTCTTTAATTTGTATTCCCAGTAAGTGGTACCATCCTCTAGTTTTAGTTGAGGCCATAATAAGCTGTCATATATTCAGATGCTGATCTAGACTACTTAGGCTGTTTCCTTTAACAACAATGGGAAATTTTCCAATTACCTCTTAAAGGACTATGTGGGACTTGTAAACTCGTATTACAGAATCCAGTATCAGCTAGGGAGTTCCAAAAATCCTGCTCAGAAATTTTTATTTGGTCTTTTATGGTGATAGGTTGTATAATATGTTTTTTCATGAGCCGAGGGTCTATCGTAACCTCACTACCTTCCAAGGTAAAGGTAAGGTCTGTTTTCGCACTACCCTCCCCACACCCCACTTGTGGATTACACTGGGGTATGTTGTTGTGTCGTCATAATCATATATGACTTTATCTAGTTCTTGAAACTTGTTTAGTTTCTCTTTTTATGGAGATATGTTGTGAGTTACTATTACTATTGAGATTGAATCTTTGTTATCTGTGTGTAGAACGGCAAAGCCGACAAGTTCGAGTCTGCACAAAGGTTCCCCCTTCTAGCAATAAAAGAAGCTTTTATGGTAGGCTGCATGTTTTCTTTAGATACCTTTTCCTATCAAACTAAACATGTTATGTTAATTTAGAATGCGTGGTATTTTTGTTCCTGAATAAAGAGGTAACTTGTAGGTAGTGGACTTGGTAGCAATTTTGGCAACACAAAGAGTCCGTTGATGAAGAAGGCAAAAATAGAGTTTGTCAACAGGTAAGTTTGGCCTCCATTAGAACAATTACATGGCTTCAGCATTATTTTATTCATGCAAATGCTCTCTCTTCCCTCCATACTGAATGGTCTTTCCCAGTTTTTGTGCTTGTGTTCTTAAACCTGTCCTCAACTGTCACTACCTTCATGGGCTTACATCGAATGTGGATTCTTGGTATATGCCGTTTGATTGGAAAATTGTGCTATAAGATATTTTAACAATTCTAGTTCTAACTAAAGAAAACAGCTGCTGTGTGTGTATTATTTTTTTGTGTTAATTTGTGCTATTTCATTTGCTTCTTTGAAATAGCCTCTATTTTCATATTGATCACTCTCTTCTGCTGTTTCTTACAGTCGAGAAGTAAAGAATTTAGCTGCTATGAAGAATAAGTCTGTGCAAAGAAATCATAGGTAAAGACATACTTGCAGTTGTTTATACTTGACCATAATCCATTTTATTCTTCTCTAATCTTCTTCTCCTTTTCCCCCCTATTTATTCCCAGCCAAGTTTCTTCTATTAAGAAACCAGGTGGTTTAGTTTCTTCTCAAGAAAGAGGCAGAGGATATGAGCCTGACACAGCAGCTAGGCGTGATTCCTCCACATATCCTGACACCGCAGCTAGGCGTGGTTCCTCCACATATCCTGACACCGCAGCTAGGCGTAGTTCCTCCACATATCCTGACACCGCAACTAGACTTGGTTCCTCCACATATCCTGACGCTGCAGCTAGGCGTGGTTCCTCCACATATCCTGACACCACAACTAGGCTTGGTTCCTCCCCAATGGCTTTGTCAGCAAGATCGAAATCTACAAGGCGGTGGGAGAGAAGTTAGGCTGGCATTTTATGTATCAAAGTTGGCTGTTGAAAGAAAATGCTTAGTGTGTTTTCTGCTACATGAAAGCGCAGTTCTGTAATTTTTATAAAACGCCTGAGAGCACAACTCTGTAATTTTCATAAAACGCTTGGCGTGCTCCGTATATCATGCTTAACATCATGCTAAATCCATGATTCTGCAAATAGTGCTCTTGGATTTGTTGTTAAGGTGGATATTCGGTATTCGGTTTTGTAAACAACCCTTTGGATGTTAAACTCTATTTAAGGATCGAGTCTTCTCGGGTCCTCTTAGTTGAAAAAAATATTGGGCTATTGCATGATACTGTGATATTGTCTGCGTTAAGCTTTTACGGTTGTTTTTCAAAAGGCCTCATGCCATTGGAGAATCCTTTTCAGCTTCTGATGTGGGAATTAGTTTGCACATCCAACAATCTCTTCCTCGAATTAAGTTTCACAATCCATCACCAATTATGGGCTAATTTGGAGATTAATTATGTGTAACTCGCACTTGTGGGCTGTGGCGAACAAAGTCTGCGTCTTCCATCTACAGGTAAAGGTACTGTATCGACCCAATAAACAGCGGGCAAAGGTTTTACAGCCGCACCGTTACGCCATAACTCCGCCATCTTCCATCTTCATTCGATATCAATTGTTGGAACAAAATAACCCATATTATATTAGTTTATGATATAATATACTTCATTTTTGGACATTACGTATACAATAACAATAGATTATATGTATCCATTATACATATATTATTTATACAATAACAATACATTATATATAAATGCAGTCATTTTAGTTGAATTCTTTTTTCTTATCGCTAGTCCAGTTACATTAGAAGCCCCAACTTAAAAATGGCGTCATATAGTCCATGTTGTGTATACCATATTGATACTAATCTTTTAAACCTTTATAAATTACATTATTTGTTTTACACATTTAATATGCGTAGAATTGAATATACGGTACAAAAATAAATTCCAAATTTTCAGATATTCGAAAATTCATTGTACTAACTGATACCCAACCAATCCAAAATTCATATATTTTATACAATCCATAATTCAAAAATTCAAACCAAATATCAGAAAGTTCGAATTTTGATTTGAATTGCCGAAACTATGCCCATCCGAGATTTATTTAACCCTCCACCTTAAGCCGGCCCTCAAACCAACTAATACATTATTACATGCAAAAAGAGCTTGATGTTCTGTTTATCTACAAAATTATCCTGATGTAACGTCTGAAACTGTGAACAAGTCTAGTCACCTGAACCAGCTAACCTCCGCCTGGTGGCGTTGGAGACTGATACCTGACCGAACTTATCCGTCTCGGCTGAAGGTGATCGATCTTGGAGGGGCATATAGTGACGCAACCATACACCAGTATACACCTGAAAAGAGAGAATTAATATCATCTACACAGAATTACCTGGGAAATAAAAGGCAAAAAGGGACCAAGTTAAGTTACCTGTGCTGGTCTCATTATCTTGGTGTCAGGATCGTCAAGGGACTCGCGCCAATGAGCTAAGTAACCAGCCATGCGAGGAATTGCGAATAAAACCGGAAAGAACTCCGTGGGAAATCCTATTGCCCTGTTACACAACTATGTATTACAGTAGTCTACATCATTCTAGACTAAGTTTCGTAAAGATTCATGTAACTATGCATACCTGTAGATTAAACCAGAGTAGAAATCGACATTCGGGTACAACTTCCTTTCTACAAAATACTCATCTGAGAGTGCAGCTTTTTCTAGAGCAACAGCAACCTGAAGATAATATATAAGATATATGAAATAGTGGATTGAACATTTTAAAGCATGACATCCACACAGAGACGAGTAAAGCTCACCTCAATTAAAGGATCGCGGCCAACAATGGAAAATACTTCTTCTGCTAGCTTCTTAATCACTTTTGCTCTAGGATCATAATTTTTGTAGACACGGTGCCCGAAACCGGACATCTTACGCTTCCTAGAGTAAAGGAAAAGCAAAAAGAAGTAGAAATGGTTAAGTATGAATAGAAAATTTTCTTTATAAAGAAAGATGACTACCAGAAAATGATGCACCTGTTTTTCACGCCCTCAATGAACTCTGGAATATTGTCAATACTTGCAATCTCGCTGAGCATCCTGAGCACGGCCTATAAACCATTTTAAAACAGCATGGTATGGTGCTACAACCAGCAAATGATTTGTGACAGGGAGAGTGTGCTCATTATATTTGAAAGCTCGTGTAAAGGAAATTTCATCGTTTTAGTACATCGAAGTTGTACCTCATTTGCACCTCCATGAAGGGGGCCATACAAAGCACCAACCGCTCCAGCTATAGCTGTGTACACATCAACACCGCTGCACAAACATTGGGGTATCAGTAGGCTAAAACTTCTAAGCTTTTTGATAGTGCTAGAAAATGCCTACCTTGATGCAAGATGACACGCAGCTGCTGTTGAGCAATTCATTTCATGCTCCGCATGTAAAATGAAGAGAATGTCCACTACACGAGCAAGTCGAGGGTTGGGTTTGTAAGACCTATTACCTCTGCATGTTCATGGAGCAAATTGTTAACTTGCCATCCAGATCTTACATCAATAAACAAGAATTTCACAGACCACTACAGTCATACTGTCTCACTGGGTAAAGAAGGAACAATAATTGCTTTTATCCAATTTAGGCATAGCTTAAATTTTCTTTCCAGCTGGAGCTTGATATCAGAGAGAATAAAGTTGAGAAATAGAACTTACAATGAATCTAGCATGTACAAGAAGTTCTCTGCATAAGAGAGGTTGTTGGATGGAAGAACAGGTGGCCTTCCAGCCATCCTCAAGTAGGCAGCTGCAGCAATTACAGGTGCCTGCAAAAATTCAGTTAATAGGAGGATGGATTAGTGCAATAATGTAGACAACAGCCAAGGTCATACACATCAAAAGGAACATGAGTTCATGATTTGACTGTTCAGCAGTTTAAGCAACCAAGACAAAGTTGAGGGAAAAGCAAATAGAAATAACCTTTCCAAGGATGCGAACTATTTGTTTATCCCTCACTTGTTTTGAATTGTATATATCTTGGCCCTGCATCAACATAAACACACATGATCAGAGTCGCAGTGGAGGAGGGGCATGGAACAACACAATTGAAATCACAAGCAGCACACTTTCTAGTGTTTCCTTACCCCACTACTCCGACTACGGGACTAGACTTCCCATCCTTCAAGAGAAAAAGTATTTAGCCAGCAATCATTTTGTCCATCATGCTAAAAGATATACAAGCTCTAAGATAAAAGATCCCTAATTTCTAAGATATCTACCAACAATGGCTTGACCTCCTTTATGTAGGAGTAGGAAGCGTAATAGTTAATACAGAGAAGCCTAAGAATAAAAAACATAATCTTACATGGCCCACCATTCTAAAAATAGTAAAACCTTATCCTGTCTAAAAATAGTAAATCCTTAACCCGACACAATTCTATCAAATAAAACTAATGACACACTTCATTCAAACAGAGCCCCACTAACATGTGAAGAAGCCTAACAAAACAAGACACGTAAAACTAAATATGTTGTTGGGATGAGTAAACGTGTGCACGTAGGTGGATGAGCAGCTTGTAGCCAACTTACAAGCAGGTAAGTACGCTCCCTGTAAGCATTTTGCAAGCACGTGCAAAAGCTACTTATTGTTGTTCTACAAGCAAGCTACTTGTAGGCATAAGTAGCTTGTAGGAAGATGGGTAGGCAAATTTAACTAGGAAGATTTTGTGGAGGTGGAGGTAAATGGTACTTTCTTGCACATGTCACTAGGCATTATTCGACTGCACGGCGTTGAAGGTCTTTACGGTAGGCTTGAGTATCGTTCCTCCATCCACCAGTCCCCATGTCCGGTGTGGGATTCCATGTCGAGCTAGAGGAAAGAGGAATTCTCCAAAAGAATTTCAACAAAGCAAGACAAGAAACACATGAAGCCTTCTATCAACCTTCTTAGGTCCCACATCAGGCATAGAGTCGACTTGACTGGTGGATGAAGAAGGAAGGATACGCAAACCCGTCATCAAGATCTTCAACATTGTACAGTCGAATAATGCCTGATGACATGAGCAAGAAAGTTTCATTTACCTCCACCTCATTAACGTTGTACAGTCGAGAATAACCGAGAATAATGCCTGATGACATGAGCAAGAAAGTATCATTTACCTCCACCTCATTGGCTCATTCCCACTTAACCATATTACCTATCAAAGTTTACCATAAACCTTCCTAGTTAAATTTGTCTATCCATCTTTCCACAAACCTACTTACAGAATGCCTACAAGTAATATGCCCAACTACTTGCAAAACAAGTAGCCTACTCACCTGCTTGCAAAATGCTTAAAAAAAAAGCTTATCCACCTGCTTGCAAATTGCCTACAAGTTGCCCACCCACCTACTTGCACATGTTGTCACATGCCAACAACATATTTAGTTTTACGCGTTTTTTTTGTTAGGCTCCCACTCGTGTTATTTCATTGGGTATGTTATTAGGCTCCTTCACATGTTAGTCGGACCCAACTTAAATGAAGTGTGCCATGTTTCGTTTTTATTACGATAGATAGAATTGTGTGCTCGGATAGAGATTTACTATTTTTAGACAAAATAAGATTTTACTACTTTTAGAATGATGGGTCATGTACAATAATATTTTTTATTCTTAGATTTGTCCATATTAGGCTTCCTACTAAAGGAGGCCAAGCCATAGTTAGTTGATATCTTAATTAAGGATCTTTTATCTTAGAGCTTGTACATCTTTTAGCTTTAATAAAATGGTTGTTTGCTAAACACTTCGCTCTTATTCTTCTCTCTGAATCTTCTCTCTTGAATGAATGAAAAGTACGATCTCTTAGTCGGAGCAAGGAAACACTATAGGCAGGTGTGCTTGATGTGATTTCAATGGCTTTCTAAGTTTATCAAACTTAGCTTGTTGCAACTACAATAGTTTCCGATCTTCTTACTTAACAAAGCATGTAAATCTATTAGTAGAGTAGGACTTGTTCCTAAATTTGAGGGCGTATAGGCCAGAGGGTGCAGCCAGAGCCCATGTTTGTCGGGAAAAGTTGTGCTTGATCCAATTTACTGCTTAGACCGACTTTGGCAAACCATCCTTCAGGTTGCGAAGCCGGGTTTGTAGCAAACTGTCCAATAGAGTACGCTAACCCCAGTCGTAAGAAGGCTATTGTAATTCCAATGTTTGATGTCTACCTATCAATGGTCGCCAGCAAGACGAAGTGCTAAACCAAATTATCTATAGACTACTTCAAGATAAGTCCAACTCGTGCAGCAAAATTAGA